CAGCTACAAAATCGCTTGGTGTAATAATAGACGATAAACTCGATTGGCATAGTCACATCGAAAAACTAACGAAAAAGATCGCCTCTGGTATCGGGGCCCTAAAGCGAATTAGGCACCTGATCCCAGCATCAACCTTACATCTCATCTACCAAGCTTTAGTAAAACCTCACTTTGATTACTGTGACATTGTTTGGGGTAGCTGTGGGAAAACGCTACGAGACAAACTGCAGAAATTGCAGAATAGAGCAGCCCGTGTGTTGACATTCTCTAACTATGATGCTGATGCAACTGAGCTACTCGAGTTTTTAGGGTGGAAAAATCTTGCACGCCAGCAGGAAATCCATAAAGCCACCATGATGTTTAGATGTCTGCACGGGCTAGCTCCAAGGTATCTATATTCAAAGTTTACGTGGCGTGACTCTGCTTATGACCTCAGGGACTCTGAAAATAAGCTTAATGTTCCACTACCGCGCACTAATTATTACAGAAAAAGCTTTAGCTACAATGGCGCCACATTATGGAACAGTTTACCACGCGATATAAGGAACACAGAGTCTCTGGGGTTATTTAAACGTAAGATCAATGACATTCTTTAAGTCTAACGCACGGCATTCACGGAAAACAGCTTTAGTGTTATAGTATGTAGTTTTAATTTTAAATATCTTAGCGTATGTGATATGTATTTTTATAGGCTGATGAATTGATCGTATCTAAATAAAGATTACAATACAATACAATACAAAAAGTAACAAACCGCGACCTGTCTGTTGTGACGATTTTGTCTCTTAGATGGGTGTGAGGCATAGAAAGTATTAAGAGAAAAAACAGCAACATGCTAAGTATAAGTTTTAATGTCATTTTGAAGGAAGTGAAAGTGAAGTGAAATCAAAAGGACAGCCTCTCCGAAAGTTTACCCAAGCTCTGATGCATCTTACGACTAAACAAGTCCTTGTCTAAGGCACCTAGATCTGATGGGAAAAAGTAGTTTGTCAAAGAAGCCAAAAGGCGGCTTGGTTTTACGGGATACCGACAGAATGCCTCGAAAGGGACAAAGTCCACATATTTGAAGTAAAAACAGGAATATTTTTTATGGATAAAATACCCATGGGAGACTCGAGCCGATGATAGAACTGGGGCGAGGTCAACCTCAGTTACCTTTCTTTGCGTTTGTTTTGGCAGAAACGAGATCGAAGGAAAAAAAAAACACTCTGAAAACAAAGAGGTCAATACTTAGCCGTCTAAATGGAACAATGTTTTTCATACAAGGATTAGTTTCAGCCAAAGGACTTCACCTTAGCCCTTGATTTTTTTCCGGGACAGAGCGGATAAACCGGGCGAGCAAGTGAGTTCTGTGTCGCTTAATCGGTTGACCCATCAGGACAAAGGATTCCTTGTATCCATTACTTTAACTCCCGAATTAATAAAGGATGAGTTCCTAAAGAAACTGTGGTGCTGCGTCGGTGACGGGGAGGTGGGGTATAAAAAGATAATTTGGATAATAATGTAAAGATATTTCTGAAGCTGACCTTTTGAGCGTCAGCCCTTCGTCTGGAATTCGACAAGGATAACTTAGACGCCATGCCAATGACATACGCCACCAGAAAAATATTTACTTCTTCCGTTAGTGCAGACCTAATGCAATTATGATGTAATTCAAGACGCCACCGAAAGGCGGACCACGAACGCGATGGATATCACTGTTTGTGAGCACTGTACGATGACAAGTATAATGAATTAACTTAACTTAAAAGTCCAATTACCAGGGCATCATTCTATAGAAATGATTGCACACGAATTGGGAGATATTAAAACCTTCTCTTCCAGCACTTTTTTAGTTTCTCGGTTTTCTTTTTTAAAAATAAAGAGTGCAAATTTTAGCTGAGGATCATTAAAAGTCAGATTGCGTGCTTCCCATATCATTACGAACCATCAGGCATCTTCCGAAGGGAGAATTTGCAGTTTTCGTGCTTTTTCAAGTCAGAAAGTTAATGCCACCCATCAACCAACTTATCTACACCTAGATTTAGCTGAAAGTGTGTACATTTTGCACGAATCTCCCATAATGAATTTGCTTTCTTGATCCAGTAAGTTCGATATTACCTGTGTTTTTGGACCAATTGCAAGAATATAATGTTAGCCCATTACGGTTGTAAATATTCCTCCTTACCTCATTAGTTCCTTGCTGATACTGTACAATGTTCAAACAAGTTCTCCCCGTTTTCAGGAAGCACGTAAATAAAAGCGTAAAGAAGCAAAACTTTGTTGGTGCAATAAATGCTTTTTCCTTCTTTGAATTTTTTTTTTTTTTTCACGTGATGTTTATTTGGCCCAAAGTGACAATGGTAATCAGACACGGGCGCTGACAGACAATCAGCATGTAGATCATAACAGATGAGGACGCGCACTAGCGAGAAAGCTGCAGTATATTCGTCTCTTATTTCGTGTCTGGCTTGCGTGACTTTTCGACTGCGCGTGCTGTCTCATGCTTTAATAGGTTTACTCCTAAAACAGGCGTTTTTACAGCATATAGCTTATGACTATATTTAAAAGTATTAAAATAGTGATGACAATAGCATAAATAATATCATTGATTATAAAACATATAAATATTTCTAAAATAAATAATTAAAATTAATATACACCGCATAAATAAAAGCTCTACTGTCTTTAAATATATAAGGACACATTGGCCTTCAAATCATCTAGAGAGTTAGGGATTTGAGGTAAGTTCATATTGTTCCAAGTTCTGATAGTTCTGGGGTAGAAGGAATATTTGTATGTGTCATTCAGTGGTACACAATTTGGGTACCTTGATGGTGTGGTAACTTGCATTATCTCGGATGGTAGCGAGATCCCGACAAGGCTCCTATAGATTTTGTAGAACATGCAGGTTTGATTTATCAGTCTTCGACGTTCCAAAGAATCCCATCCTAGTGATTTAATCATCTGAGAGACACTACTGTGACGAGAGTAATCATTATTGACAAACCTTGCGGCACGTCGTTCGACCATCTCTATCTTATTGACATTGCACTGTTTATATGGATTCCACGCGCTACTCGCATATTCTAATTTAGGACGAACAAGTGAGGAATATGCAGTATTCTTTACCTTTACATTGCACTGTTTATATGGATTCCACGCGCTACTCGCATATTCTAATTTAGGACGAACAAGCGAGCAATATGCAGTATTCTTTACCTGGGAAGAACATCCGGAAGGGATTCGTTTAAGAAGGCCAAGGGTGGAGTTTGCCTTGTTGCAGATATTATCGCAGTGTTGATTCCAATACAAGTTATCAGTGATTGTTACTCCCAAGTAAGTTGTGGAAGGGACTTGTGATATGATTTTACTGTTCATAGAGTAAGTGAAGTTAACAGGTATTTTCTTTCGAGTAATTCCGTGGTAACATTTGGACACATTGAAACAGAGCTGCCAGGTCCTCGACCATTGGTACAGAAGATCAAGGTCTTGTTGTAGAGTAAGACAGTCCTGGTGTGAGGCTGCCTCTCTGTAAAGAACACAATCGTCTGCAACTGAGCCGGAGCTTAGATTGGATTGAGTTTGATATGTCATTTATGAACAATAGAAATAGTGCTGGACCCAACACAGAGCCTTGAGGCACTCCAGACACAATAGGTCTTGACGAAGAGTGAGTACCATTAACTGAGACACTTTGCTTGCGGTTTGACAAAAAGGCCCTAATCCAATTAAACATGTTACCCCTGATTCCGTAGTAATCAAACTTTATAAGTAATCTTTCATGGGGAACAGTGTCAAATCCCTTTGAGAAGTCTAATAGCAACACATCTGTTTGGCTGCGGAAGTTTATACCTTTGGCCCAGTCGTGTATTGCACAAAATCAGTTGAGTTTCACAGGAAAATTTTTCCCTAAATCCATGTTGATGGTTGATGAGGATATTATGTGAGGACAGATGTTTCGCTATGTGACTGAAAATAATGTGTTCCATTACCTTGCAACAGATTGAAATGAACGAAATGGGGCGGTAGTTGGCATGTTCTGATTTATTACCCTTCTACCAATTTTATCGAATTTGAACCAAAAGAAAGTTGCTTCCGTTTTTTGTTTATTTGTTTTTAGCAGAGTGACATCATCACAGTCATGAGGGAGCATTGTGTTAAGAGGAAAATGACGAGACAGGTATTTTCTTTTGGCGCACGCAATATTCAGTATCGCATAGTCCTGGGCTAATCAAGCAATAAGCTTAAAAGTTGAATTCTTGCCAACTACAACAATTCCTGCGTTCAGCTATCTTTGTTGAAGAAGTGAAACACCCTAAGGGCATCTCTTTCAACGTAAGAGTCGTAATTTATACGGGAAAGTACTTCTCTTTCCCAAGCTGTTAATCACTCATGTTACTTTTGTAAAAATCAAAAGTTGAGTCGTTACCAACCTCAACAGTTCTTGAAGACACTAGGGGAAACCCCTCGGCGAAGGGGCTCCTTGCCGTGGGGAAGAACCCATTCCTGGAGGTGAAAGTGAAACACAGGAAACTTCTTCATTTGAACATGAATCTTGGGAATGAAAGCTCAGAAAATACTTTTCCTCTCGCAGCCAGCGCTAATTACTCGGGCTTTCCGAAGGAAACGCCCGAGGTATAAATTCGGCTTCGCTTTTTTTTTTTTTTTTTTTTTTTTTTTTTTTTTTTTTTGCGGTCAGTAACAAAACGCAGTTCCACTACAGCGCATGCGTNATAAGGGCATTTCACTTCAGCTAGACCAAAAGTTTCTAAACAGCCAGGATCAATAACTTTTGCATCAGGACTGGCACCAAGAATAGGGTGAGATTTCGAAATTACAAATCCAGAGGGAAAAACTTTAACTGGGGTTCTAGCATTTTTCATGTATTTTTGATACTCCATTAATGCGACCGGCTCAAAATTTCTTCCATGCTCTACAGCTCTGTTGGAAAACTTCTTTGGATGTATCAATGTTTCTGCCAATGTATTATGGTTTCTTTTTCTGTGGCTGATCAGATG